ACAAAAATTTTATTATAAAGTAGCAATAACAATAAATTTGGATTTGGTTTTTATTAGTAAGTATTTTTATTAGTAGTTTATTTGATGATTATATATATGTATTTATATATTTAGTTTATATATAGATAACAAACAATTTGAGGAATTGTTATTAAGAGAAATTAAGCATCTTAAAGATGATAATAAAAAAACTAATGAACGTTACAATAAACTTTGTAAAAAATATAATAAGCTGCAAAATAAATATGATATGTGATATGAAGTTTTTTAAAATAGAAATGATAAGATGATTTTGAATATGATTTTTTTTCTTTGTTTATCATTTTTTATTTTTTGCTCATATAGTGAAAATTTTTATAGAGTAGCAGTGTCTGTCCTTGTTGATATATTCTTAAAAGTGTTCGATCATTACTATAATCTCTATTTATTAGCATAATAGAGTTTATTTAAATAAAGTAAAATATAAAAATAAAATAAAATAGTATAAATAAAGTATAAATTCGCTTGTTTGGTGTAATTTTATTTATTAAATTATATATATAATAGTAAGACAACTAGTATATTGAATATTACTTTAATTTGGATGTGCAGGATTTTGCTGTCCTCTCTTTTAAGATTAAAGTTGAAACAACTGATAAAGAAACAAGTGCCAAGTTATCTTTTTTGGATAGAAATGATGAACCAATCAAGAAACCTAAAGATGTTTTTGTCAAGGACATAACCAAAAAAAAAGGAAAGATTAAGGAGCCTTTTTCTGGGCTTGATTTTTATCTTCTTAATCATCCTAATAAATATGTTTTCTATTATGATATAAAATTTATTTTATTAACTGTAGTTTTAAAAAAAGTTATCAAATATTTAATATAAATCCTGTTAGTAAGCATCAAAGAATTAGTAGGGAGATAATGCTTTAGTATGCTCGTATGATAAGTTATGATGATGAAAGTGATTCTGATATAAAGGATGAATAATCCTATTTTAAATTTTTTTTTAAAAAAATATAAATAAAGTTTAAATTTGTATTGTTATTTTAAGATAAAATAAAATTGTTTATACTTTTCTTGTTGTTTATTTTGGCAATTGATGCTGCTGAGATTCTTGATATAATAGTAAATTCTTGTTTGGATAAACTGTATACATAGGATTTTAAGACTGGCAAGTATGTGCCTATCTTAAACAAGAATGGCCAAATTACCAAACATTATCCAGGTGGGATCTATCTTCAAAAATTCTATAGTACACTACACCTTGTTATGTAAATATGTATAAACCAAAAAGTAGCAATATCAAATCTTCAAGAAGTTCCTCTAAAAAAAGAACAAAGAAGACTTAGAGTATGCAAAGAAATATTCATCGATCTGTGGTTAAATTTTCTTGATTAATTTAATTGAATTTATTAGTTTTCTATATATATATGAGGTATATATATTTGTGAAAAATAATGTTGATCTTATCTTATATGTTATATTAAATAGCATGTAATTTTTTTCTGATTATTTTTAAAGTTTAAATAAAGTATAAATTAAAATTTTCAAAGGTAATTTGTATGCTTTTCTTTGCTTTACTTTATGGCTAAATTAAAAGTTAAAAAAGGCAAAATAATATAACTATAAGCTACAAGAAAGAAACGTTGCTCAAGAAGCATGTACATAAGTTTCACGATTATATATTTAAAATTCAGGACAAATAATACCAGAGTTTATTTTTTTGATAAGGTTACTAATGAAATTATAGAAATTCCTAAATTGGTTACCTGTTATAACTGTAAAAATTCTTTTAATATTAATAGATTGGATTGTTTTTTAGTAATGTGGAGTAATAGTTATAATTTTTATTGCAATAATGAAAAATTTTTTTCATTGTATAATCAGAAACAGCAACAGAAAAAATCAGAATCATATCAAGTGATATAATTTTATTTAAATTTAAAATTCATATATTCTTAATAAAATTAAAGTAAAGTATATCTGGTTGTAATAAGAAAGGTTGTAAGTGTAGCTGGTGTATGAATAAAATTAATAAACTTGAAAGTAATCTTAAGAAAGCTAAATCTAAAGTGAAAGATGCTAAATTTAAAGCTGAAAAAGCTAAAGATAAAGTAAAGAAAGCTTAGGTCCAAGTCAAAAAGATCAAATCTAAGGTAATAAAGATAGAAAATAAATCAGAGAAGACTGAAATTAAGGCAAAAAAAGCAACTGCTGATGTTTGAATAATAAAAGAAGATTTAAAGCATCTTGAAAAAAATTTTGGAACTTTAAGGGTAAATATTGATTGTGTTGATAAAGAGGTAGACAGGGTTAAGCTTGATGTTGATATAAATAAGAAAGCATTAAAATTGTTGGAAAAAGATGTTAGTAGGTTAAAAATTAATATTGATGTAAATACAAAAGTGTTAGAATTGTTAGAAAAAGATATCAGTAGTTTGAGAAAAGATGTTGATGTTAATATAGAAGCACTTAAGCTATTGGGCAAGGATGTGAATAGTAATAAGGATGTGACTTTAAAGCTTGCTTTGGGTATGCATAAGGGTTTTGCTCAGGTCAGAGATCGTTTAAAAAAGGTTAAAAGTGAAATAGTTCTGGCCAATTTTATTTTAGATAATATACCTGACGTGTAGTTAGTTTTTTTAAAAAAAAAATAAATAAATATAAATACCTGGTCTTCTTATTTTAGATCAAAAATGTTAAATTTTCTGTTGTATCTTACTTATGCTAATTTTAATTTTGTTGCTTTTTAACTATTATTCTAATTTGCACTATACTTTACTATTGTTCAAAGTCTGAGTTGGTCAGTCTTGCCTATTTTGTAAAAAATTTTGTAACTGTGTTGTCCATATATTCAGTTGGCAATTATTAAGATCATAAAAAAAAATCGAATTTTACAAGAATAATCATATATAAAGCTGGTGCGTACAGAAGCAACAAAGGAAATCTTCAAGAAAACAAAAAAAATTACTAGAAAAAAATAATTCAAATGAAAAAAATAGTTAAAAAAATAATCAAAAATACTTTCTCTAAACAAAAAAGAGTTAGTAAATCTTTTGGTAGCTCTTGCTATAAAAAAAATATATTATGAGCAAGTAAGCATTTAAGAAGAAAGAAGCGATTACCAAAAAAAAACCATGTTCGGTTGGTAGTTGTATTGTAGGCAATGAGTCATCTTATAATGCTTGTCGTCAAAAGAGACCTTTTAATATAAAGATTGATCGAGTCACTTTAGGCCCCGCTTTTGTTAATAATGATATATGAACTTTGTATTATGACAACACTTTGTATAAGCACTTTTGGTGTTGGCAATTTTTACAGAATAGTAAATTGTTAGTGACCAAATTGGTCTTATCTAATATTTTGATTCATATCACATTTACATCTATTCATCCTAACCATCTTGGAAATCTTTTAGGAGTTTTACTATAAAGAAGTTCAATAGTAGTGCAAGAGGCTTATGAAGCTTAACAAAATACTATCAATACTAAGGAGGAAGATGCGGTACTCAAGGATCAAAGACTTTCTTGACCATTACTGGCAGATAATCCTATACGAGTAATAGACTAGTTTAGTCTTTTAGGAAAGAGTCACAAGATGCTACCTACACTTTTGTTATCGAATATGGGATTACATTTTTGGTTGGTACAAATTTGTAACATAGCATTGTCTAAGAAAAACAAACTTTCTCTTTTTGATGTATTTGAAAATATAGAAATGTTTAATCCATCAATGATTAATGAGAAAAAGTTTGATGTGTTATCTTATTATTATGGAGAAATTACATATGATGATACAGAATGTTTGTTGAAAAATTAGGATTTTTATATGTGCTATCAATTTCTGAAAACTCATCAAAATATTTGTGTAGTCTCTGAAGAGAAAGATGAGGCACAAGTATTTGATACTGGGAATTTTGCGCTTATTATAATAATCAATTATATACCAGAATTTTTTAAGATGCGACAATTACGAGCATTTTACCAGACAATGATCCACGTTATCTTACAGATGAGACAACTTTTTTGTTAGGTGAAAAATTTTCATTTGTCAGGAAACAAACTAGAATACCCATTTTCATTAGTGATGGTGTTATTGAGATCACATATCATTATAATAGAGGAATTAAGACTATAGTTAAACTCTTTAAAAGAATTCGCCAGAAAATAAGAGAGGGTGATAATCAAAATGCAGAACTAGTTTGATTTTGATTAAATTTGTATAAATATCAACTCTTTCTATCTTAATAAATAAATAACTTAAATATTAATTTTTTTAAAAAAAAATAGTTTGTAAATATAAATTTGGTACTGAAAATCGATTTGTTCTATGCTGCTATTATAAACAATTTAATTCGGAAAGACTTATAAACAGAGATGAGAAACAGATTAATCTATTAATAGCATTTGAGGGTGTTATATGCTATATTCTTCAAACAGAACCTGAGTTACTTAATCATGATCAGTCTTAATTTTAGACAATTGTTTCTTATCATTGTAACTCAATATTTTCTTATACTGATTGACTATAGAG